TGTATTCGCGTATTGATAGATGCCATATATGTGCAGTAGGCTGCGCGAGTAAATCGTGACTCGACTGGTAGAGCGTTGGCTGTACTAAAGCCTCCCCTGCCGAGGTGGGTTCGAATCACACAGAGGCCACGAATTTCTCACAAGTAGGTCAATTGAATTATTCGAATCTCTCAAATCCCTCCGGCAAAAGTGCCGGCAACAGTACTTTAAGTAATGCACCTTATATAGCTGTAGTCCTAGCATTTTGTCTTACCGAAACGGTCGTTATAGGGGTTTATGGGTGGGGAATTAGGATAGACAGTGGAGTATACTTTAATAACTGCTATATGCATTTTTATTTTGTTGTATTTAGAAATGTTGTTAATTTATATCCGTAGATTTTCCTATTCTGTACTATCAGTTAACGTATTGCGGAAGACCCCGATTACCAAAATGCAGGCTTCTTAAAATTCCTGAAAAAAGTAAAATGGTAGTTAGGAGGTCGTCTACTTCGACCTACCTGAGGTCCAACTTACCGTTCTGAAATTAGACTAGTATAGTCCGCGGCGCCAAGCGCTGCACACGCCTTCAATTTACATGTGGAACAACTTACTCCCAGCGGCCGATGAAAACAACTTGAATTATATTTTTCCACTTTCCACTTCTACAAATTTCTTTGACTGCCTATCCTATTTTCCCACCCTCAAAACCCCTATAACCACCATTTCCGTAAGAAATAAATGTTGGGACTAGGGGTATATTATGTGCACTACTTAAACCACCTTTGCCAAACTGTCTTGTAGGAACGTCCAAATATCTACTTTCCTCACTCGACCGTCTTACGGACTTAGTGGTAAAGCATTTAATTCTTGGTTTACGACTTCAAATAGAAATTTAATTATCTTGAAAGTAACCAAAGAATATTTAACTAAAGCCACTTATAACTCTTTTAATAAGCTAAATGTAATCAACTCCATCAACATAAACTCCTGTTGCTCAAGCAACTGATGCCCATTGATGGAAATTGAACCTTATATTGGCGGAATTTAACGAAAAAAGAAGGGGTAAGTTGGGCTACTCAAAATGTAAAAGTAGTTGATTATTATAAGTCAAAGGCAAAAAGGACCTCTAAAGACAGTCCTATCATCCCTCCTAATAATGACAGCAGTCGCTTAACTCCCCTGCACCCTACCTCTGGTGCGGCTCCAACAGTCTCTCACTGCCGTTTAACCAGCTCTCTTATCGCCCCCTGCTTTTTCCGCGACTCACTTTTGCGTAAAGACGAACATAAATGGCCGCATTTTCCCACAGTAATGTACTACCTCAAAGTAAATTAGACGAAAGCACGTATATGATCGCCAGCTGGTCTTCTGAATCCCTTGATGGGAATTTTCGCGACTCTAATAGGTTTGTTATAACCCGAGTAGTATGCAAAAGACGTCAACAGAACGGATCTCATGGCAATTGTTTATTTAACAGCACATCAAGACAGTGGAGTTCGCGGGGTTCTTTAGCGTGTGCAGTCCGGCATATTTGAATGGTTCCGGTCTTTCGAGAACGTTCCTGGCGTATGGTGTGCGAACGGGCATTCTGTAAATTTCTAGACAGCGGTCAC